TGATGGTTACTTTTTCTCCACATCCTCACCAGCATTTGTCATTAGTTGATTTGTTGATGATAGCCAGTCTGACAGGTAGGAGATGGTATATCATCGTTGTTTTGATTTGCATCTCTTGGATGATTTGGGACTTTGAGCATGTTTTCATATGTCTCTCAGCCTTATATATGTCCTCTTTCAAAAAGTGTCTATTTAGGTCCTTTTCCCATTTTTTGATCGGATTATCTTCCTTTTAACTTGTGAGTTCTCTGTACATTTTGGAGATTAAACCCTTATCTGAAATAACATTAGCAAACATGTTCTCCCATGCAGTGGGTTTTCTTGTTGTTTTGTTGATGATTTCTTTTGCTGTGCAGAAGCTTTTTATTTTGATGTAGTACAATTTGTTTATTTTCTCCTTAGTCTCCATTGCCCTTGGAGCTGTATCACTGAAGTGTAAGTTGGTGATCTAGTTTCATTTTTTTGCATTTATCTGACCAAATTTCCCAGCACCATTTATTGAAGAGACTGTCTTGACTCCATTGTATGCTCTTGCCTCCTTTGTCAAATATTAATTGAGCATAGTGGCCTGGGTCGATTTCTGGTTTCTCTGTTCTGTTCTGTTGGTCTATATGTCTGTTCTTGTGCCAGTACCATGTAGTTTTTAGAACCGTGTCTTGGTAATATAGCTTGATATCTGATATTGTGATCCCTCCAACTTTGTTCTTTCTCAGGATTGCTGTGGCTATTTGGGGTCTTTTGTATTCCCGATAAATTTTTGGAGAGTTTGTTCTAGATCTTTGAAATATGCAGTTGGTATTTCAATGGGGATTACATTGAATCTGTAGATTGCTTTGAGTAGTATGGACATTTTAATGATGTTGATTCTACCAATCCATGAACATGGTATGTTCTTCCATTTGTTTATGTCTTCCTCTATCTCTTTTTTCAATGTCCTGTAGTTTTCCAAGTAAGTTCTTAGGCACTCTAAGCAAGTTCTTTCTGAATGTCCCTGAGATGATCACAGGCTTGAACTCCTTGGTGAGGAAAGGAAGCTCTTGTCGTTTCTCCCAGCAGCTCTCAGAGGCCCTGGCTCTGGAGAGCAGGCCTGCAGCCAAGCTGCCTGGGGCCATACACAGCTTTCAGCTCCTTGCTTCTGGGTGCAGAGAGGCCGTGGAAGTGGCAAGAGCGGGTTAGTCACCCACCATAACAGCCTGGCATGTGGGGAGGAGAGGAGGCCCTCATGATGTTCCAAGGACCCACATTCTCCCCTCAGTGGTCAGCACCGGAACCCAGGAGGCTCAGCTGATTTCCCTCTGCACTGCCCTCCAGACCGGGCTTGTAGAGACACTGCATTGAACAGACTCACCATCATATACGCCTTGTCCGCATGCTGGCACAGAGCGGCCACTGCAAACACTAGCCCATCATGCAGTGCCTTCCCTGTGGCCTGATGTTCGCTGAGTGTTCTCAGTCTAATTTGTGTCACTTGAGTTTCATCTTCTTTTCTGGCATGATGCACCCTTTCATGTTAGAGCTTTCCGGAGGACAGTGACTCTCCCTCAGTGAGCAGAGTGCACTCCAACAGAGAGCTCCCAGACCCTGCCACATGGGTACATGGAAGGCCAGGATTGTCGTGTAACCATCACTTAACCCCAGGGCTCCACCCAGCCCATGGTATTGCTCTTGGAAACTGTTTTCCATTGCACATTCCCCAGACTTATCTGACATGGAAACCTTTCCGTGGACTCCATGAACTAAAAGCACCTGTGGGAAATGCTGCCCTGGGTTGTTCTTGAAAATCAGCAGAAATGTGATGCAAGCTATTCGTTGATTGAACTAGCTTCTCCTCAGTGAGGTGTCTGTGGGGTGCACGGCAGGGGGTGCTAGGAAGGAGTCCGATGGAGCAGGGACTGCAGTACTCGGTGGAGGCTTAAGCATGAGTGGGAGAGAAGGTTCACCAGGGAGGAGAATCAACCAGCGAGGAGAATCGTGGCTGAAAATAGAAAGCTGTGAGCAAGCAAAGAAAACATGGGCAGAAGCCCTGGGGCGGCTCAGGAAGGCAGCCATCCCGGCTGCATGCCAGTGCACGAGTCCCACCCTGGGTCCCCCTTCACCGCCACGAAGTCTTCACGGCTAAGTTCCGGGGCCACAACTGCCCGGCCCCCGGAATGGCCGCTCCGAGGACTGAGAGTAGGAGTTGAGGGGCAGCCAGGGAGCGTTGTTCTCAGGAGCAGCCACAGCAGCCTGCCTCCCTAACTGGTGCAGACACTGCAAGGGACACGCCAAAGCTGAGACCTGGCTCCTGCCTAACGGGAGGGGGGGGGGGGGCGCTTTGCTGAAGGCACAGGTACACATGAAACAAACATGAGCATCAAAAGGCCGTGCAGTGGAGGTTAGCAGGAGGCACCGGCATTGTTTGGAGAGTGAGTGGTGTTCTCCAAGATCAGACCCGACTCTCTCATTTTAGGTTGAAGACACACATTTCTCCAGGGAATGAGGTCCCTCTCTCTTGCAGCTATGCAGGGGAATGGGAGATTAGACGAGGCAGCCAGGGAAAGACCCTGATCTTTAAACCTAAACTGGTATGTGTTTAGTCTCAGGGTGCCTGGTAGCTGTGCAGCTTTGACATGTCACTTAACCTCTCTGATCCACATCCACAAATTAGCGGCAATATTTCTTATCTGTACGGATTAAATCAGATGGCATATGTGAAGCGGGAGGCACACTGTAGATGTTCCAGCAACGAAGGATGACTGGAAAGTGATGAATGTCCTGAACACCAGCCCCAGAAATTTGGATTCCCTTTGAGAGGCAGAAGGAAGTGTGATTTAGTGGTGTAGATGGTACTTCAGACCAATTTCTTCAGCTGTGACGTGGGGAAAAAAATGACCCCAAAGCACATGAGGCAGCAGGCACATATTAAATGTACTAACTCCCCCTTCACTGTGAGTGCCTGGCAGAAGTGCTGGGAGTTGTGAGCTGTGGGAGGCTCAGGATGGTGGGGGCAGGGAAGGAGTGTTAACGTGGGGTGGGGCCAGCCTGAGGGGCATGCCCTGCCACAGTGTTGGCGCCCCCCTCCCCGTATGTGTCCCTTTTCTGCACGAGGCCTCTCTGCCCGCATCCCTATTTCCTGCGCCCCATTTGTCTAGGGCTGTGGTCGGCAAACTGTGGCTCGCGAGCCACATGTGGCTCTTTGGCCCCTTGAGTGTGGCTGACTTACGAGTGTCCCGACTAACGAGTTTTTTGAGATACCAGCTGTCTCTCTGCCAATTTTTTGCATTGAGTTGACAGAGAAATTTCAGTTAACGAGCTCCTTAACGCGCTCGGTCTCGGAACGAATTAAACTCGTAAGTCAAGGCCCCACTGTATTTGGCTCTATTGACTAAGGAGTTTGCCAACCACTGGTCTAGGGAAGCTGAGGCACACAAGTCACTGAAACAGTGAGAGCAATCGGGGTGGGAGGAGACAGTAACAGGGGCCGGAAAGTGTTTGCCACCAAATTAGCTCTCAGCTACACTCAGCTCGTCTCAGGGAAGGTGACAGCTTCCCCTGTGGAGAAGCTGCCTGTGCCTGCCCGCTCCCCGAGGGGCGCTCTGCATGGCAGTGAGTGTGCATGGGGTGTGCGCCTGCGTCTGTGGGTTCCTCTCCGAGAAGCCAAGTAAAGCGAGGTCGGAATTGCCGTGTTGCCACTCGAGGCCGCCAAAAAGATATTTGTGTTCTTTGGTGTCTTGTTTTTGGTGCATGAAAACAAACAAAGCAAAGACCTGACACCCCCCCCCCCCAATCAGGGCCACGAGGGTTCCTCCTCCCACACCTGTGTCCCAGGGGGAAGCCTCGCCACCCAACAGCCCAGGGCAAGGGCCTCGGATGCTCACGCTGGGCCCACTGGACACAGAGACCAGCAACAGGATGTCCCTGGTCCCTGCCAGGGCTCGTGCCTGGTTCCCACGCTCTGTGTCCCTCACCTTGACCCCAGGCCCCGTGGCCCCTCAGAAGCTCCCAGCTTCCCGAGTTATGGCCCCAGACTCCCCCAGATGCAGCCAGGCCCCTCCTTCCCTTCACTCTCCTCAAGGGTTTGTGCCCTGACACATGAAGTTATTGTGTTAAAGAAAATGTGTTCTCCTACGAGGGAGGCTGACTTGCTCTGGACTTTAACCAGTCATGTTAGGTTGTCGAAAGGCAACGACAAGCAATGTCTTCTTTCTTCTAGGCTGGTCTCTGGTCTCCCCTGAAACAGCAGATGCCACGATCAGAGGCCGGGAGGCTGTAGGGAAGGAAAAAGACATCACCTAACTCAGATATTTTCTCCTTCTCACGTATGGTCACAAACTGCTAACACTCTGTTTGGAGTTCTACACTTAACAATATACCTCCTTTCTATTAATCATAGATGATGGATCAATGGAATTCATTAGAAATCAACTGATCAAGCAGGTCCTCGGTTCTTCACCTTTTTGTGGGACAGAGAACTTCCCCTAGGCCAGTGGTTCTCAACCTTGGCTGCACAATAG